TGGCAGCTTAGCATGAGAACCAACAAAACGCACAACTTATTAAGAAAAAAATATTCACCAACAAAGAGATTTAACTTACATTATAGCTGCCTGCCTTATCATACTTTGACAGCTCTTAAAACTGAATTCACGCCCAATAATTTCTAACTGTATGTTCAAACTATGAATCGTGCCACTTTTGTTCATGTTTTTTGCGACTTTTTGATTTCAGACCTTTATTTCTCTACGTTTGATACGTTTTAGTTACTATTTTAATCTTTTAAGACACACAGCAGTTGTTGAACAAAACTTCGATTCCTGTTTAATGAGTTATCTATAAGTAGTATGCTAACCAAACTTCATACCTTCGATTTTTTTATTTTATTGTTGTGTTGTGGTTCTTAATACCACTTGCCAAATACCAGCAAGCCTGCTTGGCGAAACCAGGCGAATGTAAGGCGAAAGTGCGTTTCTTGTTTTTCAGGGGTGCCATCTACTGCCAAGAATATGACTTCAACCGTAAGAAGACACTTTCAGAAAACACGTAACGCCCGTTTACAGGGTGGTCCCATTCATGCATACATTTATCTACAGATCGTAATTTTGACCTAATCCAGAGAACGAGCAATCTCCAATTCAGTAACCGCAGTTGCATTGATTTGTTATGGAAGCATGGAGGACTTTGTGACCTAACAGATTTAACGTAACGTCGGTCAGTGGGGATGGATCGAACTCACAACTTCTTGGACATGGGCCGAACACCCTACCAATCAGACTATCCCGGTCAATCGCAAAATGTATGGTTGTGCATACATATATAGTCTTGTGTGTTCAATAGCAAAACGCATTATTAACCTATCTTAAGTTAATGAACAGATAGCACATAGAAGAATAGTATAGAAGAATAATAGAAGAATAGCATAGAGAATAATAGTACAAAAATACATTGCAATGGGATTCGAACCCGTTACCTCCACGCTTTAGAGCTTTCGGTGGAATTACATGACCCTCACCTACGGAAGCCACACCTCCCAACAACAAGGCTTTCAATCCTGCAATGTACTCCAGCTTCGTACTCCAGCTAATGCTAAATATAACTAGAAAGTGAATTTAGATTAAAACAACGCAGATCTGCGCTTAGATCTAAGAGATGTTTTAGTATTTCATTCTTAAACTGTAAGTACAAGTTCTGCTTCAACATTTATTTACAATAAATTTAATAAGTGTTTTCATTCCAAAAAAATATGTATAGATAGATTTAAATGTTTAATATTTATTTCATGATTAAGAATCTTAAGCATTGCCGAAAGAGATAGATACATGATGAAATATTTATGAAATATAGGTGACTTTGAATTATTATACAATTGAAATAAAAAGAGAGATAAAATTATTCCTATATATATTTATTTTGTTTCAAGCAAAATTGAGTTTCGTAATGCGTGAGGTGATAATTTTTGCATAGTCGTTGATTCATTGTATTTTTTTCTTTTTTTTAGATATAAAAAATTATAGCTTACGCTATGTTTTTCTGTTTTATAAAACCAAAACGAAAAAAATTGTTAAGTTGATCATTAGAAGATAACATTCAAATAAATATTTTTGAAACTGTATAGGTAGGGATGGTTCATATTCAATTACGAGAAATTTTTCTTGAAATTTCATCCAGATCAAAAACTGTAATTAAGACATCATATATATAACAACATAACACACAAGCATGCATATATATATCTTAAATACAGTCTAGATCTTTAGATCTCTCATAAAAACTGATAATTGATATTGAGTTGTGATGACTCATATTTAAAAATACTGAAAAACCCACAATTTCAGAACTTATTTTTCCTTTGCCAAAAATACTATGACATCCATATTCTTTACTTAATAAAGCAGCATTTTTTGCTGTGTGAATTTTTATTTATTTATTTATTATTTTCATATATTTTGCAAACTGAATATTATTAAACTAATTTAAATACTACCCTAAAATCGTTGTGAATAGAAGAAAAAAAATTATGCTGTTTTTTTTTCCCTAATTAAATCAAGGCTATTAAATTTTGAAAGCAAATTTCAGCCTATATTTCACTCAAATTTCTATAGAGTCAAATGTCTGTGAAATTAAATCACTGGATTATCAATCAGACTGCGAATGCAACAAATGCGTCAACTAACTGAGCTTACAAATGAAACTTAATAACTACCATAATCTTAAGACTCAATATTTATGAAACCCATAGAGTTTATGATAGTGTATGTTATTGTTAAAAAATAAGGAAAAAAGCTAATTTTTGTGATGAAAAAATTAGCTTTAATTAGAAATGCATTAATGGAGAATATGATAGTCATCTTTATTTTGTTTATCATCTTTGGAAATTTTCCCTGCTCATGAAAATAAAATAAAAATCTGATTTGATTTTCAATTTAGTGAAAATTTGGGCTTAATTAAATTTATTTATGTGTACTTCATTCTTTTTTTGAAATAAATGTTAAATTTAATTATTATTACTACTTTTTTTAAAGAAGAAATTTTTTAACTTTTATGTTTGTTTATTCTGAGCTTTTACTATGTTAAAGTTGCAATTTTTTTTACTTGCTTTTATTTTTATTTATTTATTTATTTAACTTTTACAATGAATCTTAAAGATCTAGTTCTGTTAGTGTAAAATGTATGTAAGTTGCAAATTATAAAAATATTTGCGTTAATTGTAAGAACTATGCTACAATTTATATATGATAAATTAATTACATAATACAAAATGAGACAATTAGGACTGTTGATACATGACGTAAGCATGTGTTTGACAATTTCTGACCTTACCAACCCCTTTATCAGCAATAATAGGCAAATTACAAATTTATTGTAAGAAAGACTAACTTTCTCTTATTTGTCGCATTAAATTGACTTTTACCTGTCAATATATAATATTAGTATTAAATTCAAATAAAGGATATAGCATTGAATTAAAAAAAATTCATGTTATCATTTTTTAATAAAACTTCTATTAGAATATTTTTAAGGAAGATTTTGTGTTTTCCTTCCACGTTGAAAATTTTGCTTAACTTTAATTTTCATGGTCAACTTTTATTTTAAATTTAATTTTTTTAGGTGTAATTTTTTCAACTTTTTTTGTTACATTTTCTGCATTAAAAATAATATATTTTATTTTATAATCAGCGTTAAACAGCTGACCTAATTCGGAGCTTATGACTATCAGCGTTCAACTCCATAACCTTGTAATTTTGTACCCAACCCAGAAAACAAGAGAACTCCTGTATCAAGCATTGTGACAAACTGGCCTTCGCGAAGGACTTTTTGATGGAACTAACCAGTATATACTTAACAAGAAAAGGAAAACCATGAAAACCTACCACGGTTAACCCGACGATTCTAATCCATGATCCGTCTACCACTGAAGATATTATACGCCAGCACTGTAGTCGGTGTGATTAGTGTTATAATTTTTCCCCTTATAGACTATCGAGAGGGTTAAAAATTTGTACCCTTTTATTGTAACCTTAAGGAAAATTATCAGCTTGTATGATATGCCTTTCCTCAAGACTTATATGGTCCTCAAGACTTAATATATTTTTGACCGATGACGAATTCACTCAACCAATGTCGAGTTAACTCATCATCGATTCACAACGTATGGGCATGGAATCAGCATTTAGAATGCTTTACTTCCATATTTAATTACAAAATAAGATGGTGACATGATATAGTTTCTGAGTAATATTGACGGTCAACAGAGGGTTAAATCAAAGGAGGGGATATGGAGTTAATATTCTCCCATAGGTAAACCGATTTCGTCAAAAAATATAACGGTATTCTCGATTCTGTCTCCTTATCGGGACCTCTCCTTCGGTACATTTATGAGATTCATTTTTATCAATTGTTATTAGTTCCATTACTCAATTACTTTTCATCTATTACTATTATCTTATTTAACATTTCTAAGGCTTAAGAATTTTATTAAGTCAAAGTGTAATTTTTTTGAATTAACGAACGTAGAATAGATTTTTTTTCTTTCTAATATTATGCTAAACTCAATTAAATTTTATGTATTCAGAAATTATTTAGTCTGTTACACGAAAAAAAGAAACTTCGGATCGACAGCCTACATTTTGACAAGCTGTATATAAATGTCGAGAATTTTATTTTCAATGTCACTTGATGATATTATAAATATCACTTTATAATATCAATGTCACAAAAATATATACTTTGTTTTATTAATACATTGGGTCTGCTTAAATATTACGTAAGCATCCCCCTCTAAGTCCCTCTCTTACTTCTTTCATGTAATTTGTGACCACTTCTATATTTACACAAAATTTTTGTGAGAAATTTATTTATTTAAAAATTTTTTTTTAAACAGATAAAATAAATTTTATTAATCGATGGGTTTAGAATAGAGCTTCAAATTTAATTTAGGTGAACCAACTTTGGTTATTCAGAATCAAGGACGTGAGATGCAAACTAAAAAGAAAAAGAAAAAAAAAGAAAAAAAAGGGGGGGGGGAGCCAAAGTGTACTTTACGGTATATTTTAAAAAATTTTATGTCTTAATTAAATAACCTAACTCAGATCTACCCCCGTCAGCAAAAATGCACATCAAACCGTCTCCAACTCAACCATGTACCAACTGAACCTTAACCATGTTTAACCTATTAATCGAGCAACCTATTTCAAAAATTTCAATTTTTATAAATTTATTTTAATATTGTATGTGTTGTATAATTGAGTAAAGTGTGATAAATATTAGTTAGCGTAATAGTACATTATTTAAAATACACAAAACCGAAGGGAAACTTTTTGTGTCAGAATTAAAACATGTTTAAGCTTAGCTCACATACTATTTTTGACTTTTATAATTTAATTCAATCACAAATCTTTCGTTGCATTCTTTTCTTTATTAAAAAAAGTTAACGAAGAAAAAGTGGAAAAAAATAACGACTTCAGATATTTTATAATTAAATTCCAAGAAAATTTAATGAACCTTTTCTATTTCTAGGAAGTATGGAGCACAAGATGGGAGAACAATAAATATAGTTCTCTTTTAAATAGCCAAGTAATTTAAAAGAGCCAATAACTATTTTCACCGAATGCAGGAAATAAGCTAATAATCGCTACCTAAATTTGCCGTCCATCGGAGATACATACAAGGTTAAAAGAGCGTTCACAGAGCCTAGTTTACACAATACTGAATCTCTTCAAATATCATTTTCTTGACAAAACCAAAGCTTTCCCTATGTATAGCCAGCCTAAATAATTGCCCGTGGGGTAGATACGTCGTCCAAGCCTGTAAAGCGGCCAGAGTTGATGATTGACAGGTGAAGGCGGAGTTTAAACGATCCACCAACCAATGGTGCAGCTGCAGTAGGCGGAGACCAGGACTAGTCTTTCATCCATATTCATCCTAACGTTGGAGAGACGTTTTCTCCCGCCGAAGGGATACTCTTTCATTTGTAGCGCGAGAGGTAACACGTTCGGACGGCAAGTTTGAAGCTTGAGAGACGAGTATTCTTACATAAAGGAGAAGCAAAAAAGAAGAAAAAAAAAGATAACAAAAAAAGAAGTTGTGTTGTTTTTTATCCTTCTATCGTCTCGTGCTCCTACTTCAAGGGCTAAGTTGAAAATATTTTTTTGCGTTACGGTGTGCCTTCAAAAGCCGTCACCACGTTGAATTTCACAGAGTTTTCGGCCCCCTATTCCAGCATGGCTGGTGCAGCGGATGGCCTGGACCAGGACGGTACAAATAAATCAGCATTCATGGAAATTCAACAACAGGGGCTTGCGGGTATGCCCCACCATGCCCAGGCTTACCCTATTCGTTCAACTTATTCTTCGCAACCATCACAGCACGAGGCAGTATTCGCCTCAGCCCACAACTCTCGGCCGTTGGGTGCAAATCCTTTCCCCATGAACTATAACCCCCTGAACTCTTCTCTTCATAATGCCCATTCATATCCAACTCATCCGTACCTGGGTTCGTATCCGGGAAATGTACCCGGCTGTCCGCCATGTCCATCACCTCCAAGGGACGGTAAGTAATTTTCTCTTTATTACACTTGATTACATCTGCTCGACCTCATTAGAGGCAAGCACGTGCTATGGGTGAATTTGTGTTTACCTCCTCCTCCCCCCTTGACCCACCCCCTACTTCTAAATCACTTCTATCATTATTTAATATCTAATAATGTATGTTCTCCATCATTTATGTCACACTTGGTATTTAAATATAATTATTTATAATGGTAGCCCATAATTGCTAAAAGTTTAAGCTGTAATTGAAATTAAAGTACTAGGGATTAAGCAATGATTTATTTTAATTTTATTTTAGGCTTTAGAATTAATTTAAATTTTTGTTAAACCAATTAAATAATAATTCTTCATTTGTTTTTTATTTTAAATTTTTTTTTCCTTACAGTTGGAATAAATGTGATAAGTTAGGTCCCCTTTTAAATGTTTGTATTTCATATTGTTTATGCTTCCTAAGTTTCGCAAATCTTAACGTTTTTAAATTTATTTAATTGAAATTAGAATGATATATTACAAGTTATGTCATCGTTTTATTGTTTCTAATTAAATATTTCTTAATGATATATATATATATATATACATAGTTATCGTTCTGCATCATTTCTTTTATTAAATACTCACAATTTTGTATCAAATCATTGTTCCACATTTTCCACTAAATCATTTAAAGAAATTTAAAAAAAATCTATTTACGTTGGATTTCTGTTTTTTTTTTCGTTTATTTTGTTTCATTTCTCTCTACAGTTTCTATTTTTTTGCATTCCTATCTGTATAGTTTTTGTTTTCTATAATTTTTTGTATAGTTTATATACCATATTCGCTATTTTATTCTTTTTCCTGTATTAACAATATTTCAGTTCAAATATTTGCAGTCTTTTCGTTATAGTTTCTAATTTCTGTATTTTTTACTTTATTGATTTTTATTTTCTGTATTTTTTTCTTCTTTTTGTTACATTTTCTGGTTAACGTTTAACAAATAATTTCATGATGAAAAGTTTTCACACCAGAAAATGGAGCTTTAATTATTTCTTGCTTTTTAAATGTTAAGTTTTTCATGAAACTTTAAGTAAAATTAAATAATTAGTTATTTAAGAAGTACTTAGCTAGCAGTAGTATATTTTAATAGATGCTAGTAAAAATTTTAGATGTATAAGAAATAAATTAAGTGAAACTCATAAACATGTTCTGCAACTTGAGTCTTGCGGGTTTTAGTTGATTTAACAATTTATTGTTCACACCTTAAGCTTCTCGGAGTAAAATCACTTATGATTTAGCTAGCATATGCAAGTAAAATTTATCTCTTTAATAAAGGCGATTCATTATTAAATAACTGAAAATCAGATGAGATATTGATTTGAATACACTCTTTTAAGTTTCATTAATAATGTATAAGATATCTGTGTATTGTGCTAGGTAATGAATATCTTTATTAATTATTTTTAAGATATGAATAAATTATTTTAACCATTTTTTAATTCAGCTAATAGCTTTTAAAAGAATACAAAAAGCGAAAGTATAGTATATGAAATAATAAATCACGGTTGAATAGAATTTGAGGGTTTTCACATTTTATTTCTTGTCTTTTCGATTGATTGCCGATATATTATTGAGCATCATCAGTTTTATGGCATTGTTATTTTTTGGGATCAATTCTCCAAGTAGATAATAGGTGAATTTTACGTCAATGTGTATTCATTTTTTCTTCTCTATTTCTATTATAAAGACAGTATTTTAATTAAATTTTAGCAAGTTGGCTTTTGTTTGCACTCATTTGTTTCAGTTTAGTTAAATATTTTATGCATCTAAATTTTCAAAAATATGATAATAATTGGTTGGAATAATCGAAAAGATTGTTTACATCTGAATTCCTCTAAAGGTATTTCTTACTAAGCATTAAGTTTTATAGGCGGGAGGATAATATAAAAACTTTATATCTATTACTCTTTACATTCTCCCGTTTTTTAAAATGTTTTTTTTTATGAATTATCCCTTTTAAATTCTGAGATAGCTTATTAATGGAACAAAACTATGTTTATTTGCTCTACTACAGATTAAACTTTTGTTAATCGTCAAAACTTTATATTTCATGTAAACTTTGCATATCAGTCTCTATTTATTTTTAAACATTTTAACTTTTTCTAGATTTCTTAAAAATAAAAAATCTTTCAGGCATAAATGAAAGTATTTTGCATCAATTTTAGCTTTTTAGAAAAGTTGAGTAAATTCAAAATCAAAGTGTCTTAAGCGTAACAGAAAATTTAACACCCACCCCTTCCCACCCGGTTCGCTTGATTTTTATATTTTCCTGTGGAATATTGTGAAACGATAAAAGATTATGTGATTCAATAATTGAATCATTTTGTTAATTTCAGCTTTAATTATTGTAAAAAATATTTATTATAAAAACCAGGTTTTTTTCTTTTTTGTCAAAAACCTCGGTTATGACCAGGAAAAACTTCCAATGCTATTCTGGATCTTGTAAAAAACGTCAAATACTAGAAGAAGCAATTGATATATTGACTTTAAGATTGTTAAAGCTCCAATTTAATAATATTAAAATCATATCAATCAGCGAAGTTAACTTATGGTAAATTAAAAAATAAATATTTATCGCAATGTAATATTAATTTAGATTTAACTTCTGATAAGAAAAGACAGTGTTTTATTGTTTACTCCATACCTCCAATATGTTTAAATAACTTTTGAGATAAGATAATCTATTTTGTGATTAGGCATCTCAAAGGAAGCTAATTGTTACTAATTTTTAATGTAGTATCAAATAAACTCAAAATAATTGTCCCCCTCTTTCGAAATTAAATAGAACTTGTAGAACAAGAATCTATAGAGTATTCAGAAAGTAACGGAAAGATTGAATTAAAATGTTTAAGATTTTGAATTATGATAAAATTTAATAGTTTTGTTCGAAATAAGCATGTTCAGGGTCAAATTTTAAAATTTTTTGCAAATGGCTCTTTTTTATTATTTGTTTGATACTTCGCCATGCAACTAATTTCTAAAAATTTATATTGAAATAGATAATTTTTGACCAATTGTTGCATTTTAATAGTCAAAACTGACTATTACCTGTGATTGAACAAAGAAGCAGAAATTATTTTTTGTCTTGCTGATTTTGATTAGTATTTACTGGTGGTAGTTCTCTCTAATGTGGCAAGGGTAAAATCTGAAATATTGCGCAGAAATTTAGTCTCTCCTATAAATGAAAAAAATATTTTAAATGGAATTAACAAACATTTTTAAAATATTAAAAGTTAATAACGTAGCTTTACATGGGCATTCAAATTACCATTATAAGAAGTGTAGTAAAATATGCAACGGTTGCATACGATAAAAAAAAAATCTTGTAGCTAATAAAACTTTTCCGTGCCGAAGTTGAGAAACTGGTTGAAAATCATTGATTATGCGTATACGAGTATGTGTAGAGAATTAAACAAAGCTACTTCCCCCTGCGGTATCAGTAGTTGAAGTATACGTGCAAGGTAACGTTTTTTTTAAACAAACATTTTTGCCATTACAAATACAGTTTTTTTAATAACGCATGCTTGCTTTTAACATTGTTTGCAAGTGGCGTTCGATACACAGATTCATTCACTATTAGACAATACAGAATCGAAATTTACAAATAGAAATTCCGTATGAAGCGTGTAATGGAGTATTTTGTAGCAAACAAACATTTGTTCATATCGATATAAAACCCTTGCTGTAGGTCTGGTAATGTTGACTCAAACGATTGGGATTGTCAGGGGTTTTTAGGAAGATTTTTATTTGCTTTATCAATATTTGTCGCGGGGATCATGATAGAAAAACGTTGCAGCTATCAACACGCAATGATAATTGCGTATCTACTAGTGCTTGTAAGAGGGGGGAAGAAGATGAGTCTTCTTTTGTTGACAGCTTCCGTACTGTAGCCGACCCCTAAATGTAATAAATCTGAGTAGTGCAATGATGAGATTAAAATATTAAGAAGATATCTTCTGAGTAATTTTCTTTTTTTATTTTTATTTAATCGATTGGAATTAACATTCAAATAGTCGTTTAAAGTTATTAAAAATTTTGTATTTACGGCTTACTGGGTTCTAGAGTCCAGTTTTGAGAAATTATAAGTTTAAGTATTGTTAGCCACGAATGTTTTACTTTTTATGAATCTATAGTGTAAAATTATCTCCCTCACCCAAGATTATTAAAGCTTTATGCAGGGGTATTAAGATTTAAATTTGTCAGTGGGAAAACATTGTTGCTGCAAGCCCAATAATTTATACTTTTAACGCCATAGCTAAGGCTATTTTTTTCTGTTATATGGCGCATCTTTTTAAGACTAGATATTTTTTTCACGCTTTTAAAGTTGTATTTGTTTAGGTGGCATCTTTAACGCGTTTTGAACATGTTGTAGTGTTATCAGACAAGTGCACAAAAGCCAACATTGAATCAAATTTTAATTATGTGTGTAAAAAATGCTCTAAACAGCTTTGCAGAAAGATGATGAAGAATCTTTTAACTGATTTTTTTAATAAATTTTAATATTTTCTCATTGTTATCAGTATTTTGCACTTGATTCACCTTACAAAAAAAGAAAAATATTTGAGCTTTGTTTACAGTTTTTAAAATCATTTATAAGGTATAACCTACTGTTATAACAGTAATAATCAGTAGTTTTTGTATAATTGTAAAATACTATAAATAAAAGTGCCTTTTGTATAACATTTAGTATAAATCATTTGGGGAAGCAGAACGCGCGAAAATGTCGTGGGTTAAGTTTTAATTTTGATAATTACCAATTAGTAGTTTTACAAGATGCAGAGCTCTCTTTTAATGTTAGCAATAGGAATCAACACTTGCAGTTAAGTAGATATATCGGGAGGAAATATTCGTGAATTTGTAATAACTGTTACGTTATGATTAGAGTGCCTGTATTGCACTCTAGTTATGATACGTCAACGCACGGGTTTTCTTTTTTTTTTTCCTGTTTTTTTGCCCGTAATCAGTTAC